AATAGTATAGTACTTTTGCATGTGTAAATCTTTGAAGAATCACCATATTGTTTTCCATAGCAGCTGCACCATTTTACATTCCCAATAGCAGTACACGGTGTTCTGATTTCTTCACATCCTTGCCAACACTTGTTATTATCTGTCTTTTTTATCATAGCTATCTCAGTGGGTGTAAATTGGTATCTCATTGTGGTTTTGATTTGTAGCTCCCCAATAATAATGATCTTGAACAGCCTTTTGTGCGCTTATTGACTTATCTACTGTGGAGAAATGTCTATTCAGATCCTTCGCACATTTTTGAATAGGATTATTTGTCTTTTTATGATCAACTTATCAGAGTTTTAAATGTGTTTAAATGTTTTGAGGCTGGGTGTGGTGGCTCAAGCCTGTAATCCCAGCACTTTGGGAGGCCGAGACGGGCGGATCACGAGGTCAGGAGATCGAGACCAGCCTGGCTAACACGGTGAAACCCTGTCTCTACTAAAAAAAATACAAAAAACTAGCTGGGCGAGGTGGCGGGCGCCTGTAGTCCCAACTACTCGGGAGGCTGAGGCAGGAGAATGGCGTAGACCCGAGAGGCGGAGCTTGCAGTGAGCTGAGATCCGGCCACTGCACTCCAGCCTGGGCGACAGAGCGAGACTCCGTCTCAAAAAAAAAAAATGTTTTGGATACAAGTGCTTTATCAGATATAAAATTTGCAAATATTTTCTCCCATTCTAAGGGTTGTCTTTTTGCTTTCTTTATAGTGTCCTTTGAAGCACACAAATTTTTAATTTTGATGAGGTCCAATTTATACTTTCTTTGGTTGATTGTGCTTTTGTGTCATAGCTGAGAAACTATTGCTTAATCTAAGGTCATGAAGATTTACACCTATGTTTTCTTTTAGGAATTTTTATAGTTTAGCTTTTACATTTAGGTCTTTGGTTCATTATCAGTTTCACATTTGTATTGTATATGATTTTTTAAAAAGTTTTGTTATAGTTTTCATTAGAGTAGTGTAACATACTAAACTCCACTAAACTTGGATGTTATCCATAGTATCTAGCACATGTAGAGAATTTTATCTTTTATTATCTCAATTTTATGGACATGCATTCTCACATTGTGATCTAGATAGGGCAGTGTAGTTATATTCACTCCCCAAACGGGAAAGACAAAGGCAGAAAGGTTGAACGACTTGTCCAAGATCATGGTGCTCACAAGAGGTAAAGCGAGGCTTAGAACCCATGTCTTCTGCTCTCACTCCTCGTGCCTGTTTCCACTGCTCTGAACATGTTCAGGGAGAGGATTCTGAAGGGAATTACCAGGAGGGCCATTGGGCACATTTTTGAGAATATTTATGTTGTAAAAGAGGGGTTCTCATTAAGGAAAGATACCAACAGTCACTAGAGATCTTGATAGGCACTTAATTTATAATATATCATGTAATCTTCCTAATAACCCTTCAAGAAAGGGAGAAGAAAGCTAAAAACTACTACTGAGTGTAATTTGTTCAAGAACACACACAAGGGAAATAGGTGAACTGCAATTTGAACCTAGATCCTGGGGCCATCAGTACTCCTGGTGTAATTGGATGCTGGAAGAGGAAGTGCTGAGTGTGGAGTCCCACCAGCAACATAACTTAAAAATATATATATGTATAGGCTGGAGAGCCTTTTTACCTCATTGTTGGCTGAGATACTCAAGCAAGGCAAGCTGAATTGTCTTTATTTATTCATTACTAACTCAAATTCCAAAGTTTATCAATAGTATTTATAAAAACATTCACACACATATTATATACACACACACTATTTTTTTTTTTTTTTTTGAGACGGAGTCTCACTCTTTCACCCAGGCTGGAGTGCAGTGGTGTGATCTCAGCTCACTGCAATCTCCACTGCTTGGGTTCAAGCAATTCTCCTGCCTCAGCCTTCCCAGTAGCTTGGATCACAGTCGCAAGCCACTACTCCTGGCTAATTTTGTATTTTTAGTAGAGACGGGGTTTCACCATGTTGGTCAGACTGGTCTCAAACCCCTGATCTCAGGTGCTCAGGTGATCCACCTGCCTCAGTCTCCCAAAGTGGTGGGATTACAGGTGTGAGCCACTGCACCAGGCCCCCGACACACACGTTTTATCTTTAGTCATTGCAACTGTTTTCACAAAAATAATCCAACCCAATAATTGATAAATAGACCACAGGACTAGAAATGGTCAAACCGGATATTTCTAAAATGTGGCCATGTTTATTTTTCTTACGGTATTTTAAAAATTCTTTAGAATTTTTATGGGTACATAGTAGGTGGATATATTTATGAGGTACATGAGATGTTTCTTGTGGTGTATTTTTATTTAGGTTTTTCACGACTTGATGACCTTATCCATACCACGGTTTGTTTTTTTAAAAAAGCAAACAACACACACAGTCACATCATTTTAAATGGGAATAAGTGACTGCAGGAAATTTAATACCCGTGTCGCATGTTGCTATGGTTTGAATGATGGTTTTCCCTCCCAAATTCAATTGTAACATAATCCCCAATGCAACAGTATTAAGTGGTGTGGCCTCTGGGAGGTGATTAAGTCATGAGGGTTCTGCTTTCGTGAATGGGGTTAATACCCTTATGAAAGGGCTCAAGGTTGATGGAAGTGCTTTCTTGCCTTTCTGTCCCTTCTACCATGTGAGGACACATCATGCATCCCCTCCAGAGGATGGAGCAATGAGGCACCATCTTGGAAACAGAGAGCTGCCATCACCAGACACCAACGTTGGCACTTTGATCTTGGACTTCCCCAGCGTTTGAAACGGTGATAAATAAATTATTGTTGTTGGCTGGGCACGCTGGCTCGTGCCTGTAATCCCAGCTCTTTGGGAGGCTGAGACAGGTAGATCACTTGAGGTCAGGAGTTCAAGACCAGCCCAGCCAACCTGGTGAAATCCTGTCTCTCTACTAAGAATACAAAAATTAGCCAGGAGTGGTGGCAGGCAGCTGTAATCCCAGCTACTCTGGAGGCAGAGGCAGGAGAATTGTTTAAACCCAGGAGGCAGAGGTTGCAGTGAGCCGAGATCACACCGTTGTACTCCAGCGTGGGTGACAAGAGCGAAACTCTGTCTCAAAAAAAAAAAAAAAAAAAAATTTCTCTATAAATTACCCAGTCTCAGATGTTTTGTTATAGCAGCACAAATGGACAAAAGCATACATGTAATCCTCCCATCACAGAGGGAGTCACTGAGGCACCGAAAAGTGGGCTAGATTCCTGCTTCTAGTACTTGCTTGCCATTGTCTTTGGACAAATTACCAGGTTGTTGGGAGAATCAAGTAAGCCAATCCTTGTAACATCTGTCATAAATATTCAATAACGAACCTTATTGAAGAGTTAGGTGTGCCTTGGCTTCGATCACACAGCTAAGTGCTAGATCTGGGGCTAGGATACAGCTTCAGGCTTTGGACTTATGAGAAGAGTCACTTAAGAGTTTTTGTTTAAAAGGCAGATTATCGGGGAAGGGTCTAAAAACATTGATTTAAACAGTAGTTGTGTTGTTGCGTGTACATGAAAACTGCCTCATAATAAAACCAGGTTTGCCTTGGTCTAATGACACCTTGACCATCATGACATTCACACAAGGCTTTTGCTTCTCCCACTCATAACCTCTCATGTTTTTTTTTTTTTTCTAAACGGAGTCTCGCTCTGTGGCCCAGGCTGGATGGAGTGCAGTGGCGCAATCTCGGCTCACTGCAAGCTCCCCCTCCCGAGTTCACGCCATTCTCCTGCCTCAGCCTCCCGTGTAGCTGGGACTACAGGCGCCTGCCACCACGTCCGGCTAATTTTTTGTGTTTTTAGTAGAGACAGGGTTTCACCGTGTTAGCCAGGATGGTCTCAATCTCCTGACCTCGTGATACGCCCGTCTCGGCCTCCCAAAGTGCTGGAATTACAGGCGTGAGCCACCGCGCCCGGCCTCTCATGTTTAAATTTCTATTCTTTCATTCTTAAAGGGCTGACCTTTTCCTGATCTCCTCTCCAAATTGATAGTGAAGTGCAAGCTGCTGCAGCCCGCCCCCCAGGTGCTGACAACAAGGACCAGTGTTTTAATCTTCTTAGACAGCAGATCAGAGTGTGTTTAGAAGGCAAAGGAGAGGTTAAGCTAGCTCTGAAGGATTACTTTGTAAAACTGAACTTTCACCCTCCCTGCTCTCCCTCCTACCTTAGCATAGCAGCACCCAGTTACCCAAGGCACAAAGCTGGCATCAGCAATGAGACTTCCTTCTCCTCACACCCAGTGACTCACCCAATCCTTTATTTTCCACGTCTTGAAAGGTGGAATGCATGCTGCCACCTCTCTCTAATACTGCCTATGCTGTGGTGATGGTGGTGGTAGTGGCTAACTGATGGGTGTTAGCAGCTATTATAAGGTCCTTACATCTATCAAATCATTTAGCCCTCAAAACAACTCTGTTACTTGCATTTTACAGATAAGAAACTGAGGCACAGAGAATTCGGTTAGGAAACCAACGTGCCGGAGATTATACAACTAGCAGCCCATCTGGATTCTTCCCATCGAGGCCCTGGGGCTCCAGAGCCCACCCTCTGCACCTCTCTAGCTACCAGTGCAGTCATCTCTCTTCTGTCCTTTGTATGCCCCAAATAAGCTTCTTCCTGACTGGTTTCTAGGCTCTCATCTTGTCCCCCACCAATCCATTTCCCATATTTTTGTTCGAAAACACAAATAGAAACACACCCCCATCTTTAGGTAAAACCCGACTTTTCCACTGCTCCAGTGCACTAAGCAAGTTCAACTCCTTAGCCTGGGCGGGCCTCTGTGTCATCTTAGTAAACCGCCTTTTAACTTTGTAGTTCCTGGGATTCACCCATGTTTGCTTAGCGGTCCCATTCCTCCAAACCCATAAATTCCTGGAGAAAAGGACTGGAGCTCAATGACATTTGTTAAATGAATTTTTGAAAAGCAACAGTGCTTTATTACTGGAAAGTGTTACAGATATTGTGAATTTTTTTCCTAGGGCTTCTTTCAATTTCGTTGAATTCTCGTCCAGTATCATCGTAACATTTGATCAGGTAGTTTATCACCTTGTAGTGTCACTGTTCCTTTCTGTATCCTCTCGAAGCCTCCTGTTTTTCCTTTCCTAATTCTCTTCCAGCCCACTGCACGATCTAGTGTCGAATGGATGAAACAGCTGAGCAGAACAGTTCTTTAGCTGTCGGCCTAAATGACCAACTTCATGACCTCTCAAGGTCTCGCTCCCCCGCTGCACGCAGCTCAGCTTCCAACATTCGGGAAAGGCGTGCCCGGCCGGCGAGGGGCCGCTGGGGCCGAGTCCCGGACGTCGCCACGCGCAGTGGGCTGCTGCGGCCGGCGCTCTCGGGAAAAGTGAGGGGACGGAGGCGCCCGAGCAATGTAGGTTTCGGGAACCGTGAATATTTCACTTTGCGTAGAGCCCCCTCGGGCAATGCGTCCCAGAACAGAGGGCTTCTTTCCCCCTGCCAGGGCTTCCCTCCAGTTCTCCACTCGGAACAAACAGCCTGCAGTTCCCGCAGCTGCAGCGCGGGCCGCGGAACACGCGCCTGGAGCGGGGCC